TTAAGCCACAATGGGAACTGATTCGTACAACGCAAAATTACTTGGGCTCGTATTTGTAATATTTTCAAAAAATTAGGTCTTTCTAACTAAATATTTTTAAGTTGGGTCCTCATTCATAATTATTTTCAAATTTGGGTCCCGATGTGTAATTTCCCCTAAAATTAATTAAAGTTGACATCACTAGAACTAACCAGGGCGACCTCCAAAAGTACGGGACACATGATTGCTTTGTTACATAATTTGTTTTAAGAAATTTCACTACATGTAGGAGCTAGACGATTCAACAATTCTTTAAGAAATTATGCAGTGGCTGTGGCGTCTTCTCATTTGACCCGTACTTTTGGGGTCGTCCTGGCTAATTCACATCACTATTCTGGAGTATAATCTGGGGTATAATCTGGAGTAATTAAACTAGATTGACTTGACTCCACTGGTTTATAACCCAACCATTAACAGCTCTAAAACCAGATGACCTTGCAAGTATTTAAATTCTTTGATACTAAAAATGGATAAACGCGCTTCGTAATATTAAATTGCATCAGACTCAAACAAACAAGAATTGTTAGGCACTGACAAATTTATCTCAATACAAAATGCTGGTGTCCAGCAAACCTTCGCAATTAAAATTTGGAACTTGTTTGATTTTTTCATACATATGTTAAAACCGATTTGAAAAATAAAATCGATTCTAAACTTGATTCTCAACCTTAGAATATTACAAATGGAACATCTAATCAAAAAAACTGAAACTATGGTTATAATTGTAATAAAAAAAGAAAATTGTTCTTATAGAAACAATGTTCGTCGTATTTGCTATTGTGTATGTCGAGATACAGTACATATAAAATTTATTTGTAATGCAACATCATCGTCAACCGTTCAACTAGTTATTTTATTTTATTTTATGTTTTTACATAGCGTTAATAAATTTTATAATTAAGTAAAGTCATATCAATTAGAATATAGCGTTAAATTACAATTTATTTTAACAGAACGTTAATCCTAAGAATCGTTTCTGAAAAACACCCCGGAGGAATAAATTTAAAATTTAATATGCTGGTAGAATACCGGATATTGGTTTCAGCTACTGAACTTACCTGCCCTGGCTGCCGCTTAGAAGCATATCTTTCTGGCAAAGTTTCTGTGTATACAATAGATAATCGAATTAATCAAATTACACCAAGTTTGAATATAAAAAAACAAATACATAACGATAAATATGAAATATATAATACTAATTTAGACAAGAAATTTAAGAGAACAGCTCAAATCCAACGCGTTAGATTCAAACTGTAACCAATGTGCACTACTTAAGCCATAGTGGAATCAAAGCATTGGCTAAACAGATCACCCAAAGCGGTCAAAGGAAAGCATGTACTTTGAAATAATAATCATCAGAAAAAGCTAAATACAGTAAGACCGTAATATATGCATACTCTCTGTAATTGCATTCTATACCTCAGTTCCGACTACTAATAATGCTTATAAAATTATCTCTAAATAAAATACAAGTGGGTGCAGATATGTTACAAATGCGAGAATTGGTGATCAAAGACATGGAGATCTTGTGATTTACTATGATCTTAAGGAATATACTTCCTTAAACACACAGTAAATCGTCCCTGTTGAAGATATATCCTATGTAAATAATTTGTTTGACCTCAATATGATTCGTTTTCAATATAAAGTATTCATATAACAGATGATGTTAACATAGGCAAAGAGTACGGGATGATTATCCAATATTTTAAAATTAAACTCAGTTTAAAAGACACTAGAAATTAGTTGAATAAATCCATATTAAAGTTAGGAAATAAAATTGGACATGCACTTTCGAAAGGAAATATTGAGAGTATTTCGGTAGGTTTGGATTTTTTCATTTCAATAAATATATGGTCCAAAAAGAAATTGATGAATCAATAGATTTTTCAAAGAGTGTTGCGACGATTTTTTTCACACTATTATTTTGCACATATTTATTATTGTTCGAATCAAAATTATAACTGTCAATTTTTTCAACAATTTATAGAGACGAATATTAAATATAATTAACGGCTCAATTAATAAAAGAAATAAAATACAGTTAAGAAGCTTAGCATGGATCCTATCAAAGTTAAACCAGATATGTAACAAGTTAGTTCAATTTTACGAATACTACAAATATACCATCTAATCTTCCATTGATGAAGACACTTGGAACACCTCAAGTTCGTCAATACAAAACTCATCTTCGCTATTTCTTATTTTATTTTGATAACTGGTTTTAACGCAACGACAACGAATATCTTCATTAAAGTCATTTCCAAATAATCTTAAATCTGATTCTCCACCACCAAAACATGGACCATAATTACCATTTTGATAAATAGCTTTGTTTCGATCAACAATTTTGCTTAACACTCGATCAAAATTAAAAACTTTATCTCCTAATGAAAAAATAAAACTTGAACTTGTTGGACTGTAACTACCGGCCACCATTGAATACCAATTTAAAGGGTTATATCCTCCAAGTATTTCTCCAGATTGTTTTTCTCTTAAAACTGTAAGTGTAGGGCCTTTTCCATCACAATGATCATGAAATTTTTTAGGTGTAAAACCATCTTGTGATCCACGTAAAATTAATTTAAAGTCATGTTTGCAGTTTTCAGGTAATGAAGAAACATTTTTAATCCACATCGAAATCATTTCTGCATCATATGCCGTAATAAGAATTGAGTTAATATCTTTTTTTTTTGGTCTGTTTTTATCACTAACTAATTGAATAGATTTTTCATATAGCTCATTATCCACGTAATCCAATGAACTTCGCCAAGGTTGCACTTCTCTTAAAAATTCATCATAGCTCATTTCATCAAATCTAATTAATGGAATGAACTGTTTTATAGATACACCTAAAGCATAGTAATTTTCTGTTTCCCATTTTGTTTTTGGATTTGGTAAACCCGGTGTATTTGCGATTCCCCATTCAATAATCCTTTTCCATATCTCAACAGGTTTCATGAAGAAATGTTGACTTTTGAAGAAAGAGAGCAATGTATTTTGTTCTATGGTAATAAAATCACTAGAATCAAATATTGTTGCGGGGTTTTCTTTGATAAGTTCAATAACACACTTTCGTATTTTCAAGTAACGTTCGCTTTGTTCGGCAGCAAATCGGTGGACAAAAACGAAATGCGACATTAATCTCCAAGGATGGGTAAGAAGGTAATTCTGAATATACTCTGATAAGTCAGATAAGCAAAACTCGTCCGTGGCTTTTAGTACGTCAAGGATTACTCTTGCATCATGTTCTGCCAAGCAAACTGTACCACCGTACAAAAAGCTAGAATAAATTAAATTAAAGGTACATGAAAAGATTGTAAACAGAACTTTTTATAAAATAAAATTTATCTACGTACGTACTTGAGAATAATTTCAAATACTTCAGGTGAAACATTAGGTTTAGAAAATAACATTACATTTCCTTGAGTTTGCACCCAATTACTTGACAATGCACTACGAAAATATGCTGACCTTGTGCGTAAAACAAGTGAATGCACTCGAAATTCTTTACAATTCGGTTCTTGGCCAGCACGCAAAATAACATCGTAATATTCTCCTGTTTTAAAAAGTTTTATATAATCGTTTGATAGTTGAGTTAACAATTTGTCTTCCATTATTTATCAAATTGGAAAAAGTTGACTAGCTTATATAGTTAATTAATACTGTAATAAAATTTTGAGACTACTGAAAACGGTTGGTTGTATTTAATAGTATAAAATTTTTAAACCTTTTTTGGGCACATTGTTTTTTTTATGGTTAAATTATGATTTAGGGTTAGGGGATACGTAATTGAATTTTTAATAGGGTCAATATTTTAAACAGAGACCCTGATTTGCAGATTTAGTACGATTTAAAAATTAAAAAAAAAAACTTTTTTTTAAAAAATATATTATAAATTTAGAGACCTGTTAATGCCACCCCGTTTTTGTTAACGTCATCCCCGTACTGTATAACTCTGACATGAACATTAAGGTCAATGTTGAGGTGAACGTTAACATGAATGGTAAGGTCAACGTTGAGGTGAATGTTAAGGTGAACGTTGACGTGAACGTTGACGTGAACGTTAAGGTCAACGTTGAGGTGAATGTTAAGGTGAACGTTGACGTGAACGTTAAGGTCAACGTTGACGTGAACGTTAAGGTGAACGTTAAGGTGAATGCTGACATGAACGTTAAGGTAAACATTAAGGTCAATGTTGATGTGAATGTTTAGGTGAGCATTAAGGTGAACGTTAAGGTAAACATTGATGTGAATGTTGATGTGAATGTTGATGTGAACGTTAAGGTGAACATTAAGGTTAACGTTGAGGTGAATGTTGATGTGAACGTTAAGGTCAACGTTGAGGTGAACGTTGATGTGAACGTTACGGTGAATGTTAAGGTCAACGTTGACGTGAACGTTGACATGAAGATTAAGGTCAACGTTGAGGTGAACGTTGACGTGAACGTTAAGGTGAACGTTAAGGTCAACGTTGAGGTGAATGTTAAGGTCAACGTTGAGGTGAACGTTGAAGTGAACGTTAAGGTGAACGTTAAGGTCAACGTTGAGGTCAACGTTGAGGTGAACGTTGAGGTGAACGTTGAGGTGAACGTTGACGTCAACGTTAGCCCCAATGTTAATTGTATCTCGCAGAAATTAGTGATGTGGCTTAGTCACGTGTCGGAAAATTTTTTGTGGGTGGTTGCTCGAATTTAATTCGAATATAATTTTAAAACGAATTAATTCGAATATTCAGCGAATTAAAGATTCGATTCCAATTTCTAATTTATATTATAAACATTTTTCAAAAATAATTTATATTATACTAGTAAGTCTTTTTATAACAAATCTATTCTATAACTTTTTTTAAAAAAACAATTTATTATAAAGTTCGGTAAAATATAGTAAACTACACACTAAATTACACTATAAAAAAACTTCAAAAAATTTTTACTATGAATTGTCAAGAGTTTATATAAGATTAACATGTAAAAATATTGTTACTTAAAATTATTAAATTAAATAAAAACTTTAAAAAAAAAAACTGTTAGAATTGACGAGCGGAAGTCTTTCGATTTTAACAGCTGCCTTACCTTGTTTAGCGCGTCGAAAATGCGTCAGGGGTGCATCGAGTATAATACGGGTTTGCATAAGGAGATCTTCTTTCTGCGTTGCGAATACAAAGTAAAATTTCCAATAATATAATATACGCAACGCAGGAAGAGGCTCTCCTTATGCAAGCCAAGGTTATACTCGACGTACCTTTGACGCACTAAACAAGGTAGGGGATATGAAAAAAACCTCTGCTTATTTGACGAAGGTTTTGGCGAAGGTTTTTAACATAATAGCTTTTAAAAAAAAATATTTGTAGTTCTACCTGTGATTTAAGTCAAAGACTAATCTAAAATAAAACATTATATAATGATTTGTCATTGGTCAGTCTTTTGACAATATTAAAATTATTTTTAACATTCTTTTTGACTAGTACCCAAATTTTATTACAGGTTAGTCCGTGCCTTGAAACCCGTTCAGATACTTTATTGAAGCATATGTGCTTTAAACGGCTTGTACGCATGCACTATTAATTATACTTGCCTGAGCATTTTAGTTTAAAATCTGTCATTCATTAAAATGCATCTATGTATCGAATTTAGCGAACCCTTTGCATACTCTCGATTGCATCGATAACATATCTTTATTCGCTTTATTTGTTCATTTATTTGAAACTAACTAACCAATTGAAGTTCACGAGATACATTGAATAAAATGAAAACTGCAAAGCGTTCTTTGAAAAAATAACGTCCTACTTTATATGGTGAATCTTGAAAGAATAAACATTTAAAGCTTAATAAAATTAACTTGTAACCGAATTTACGTACGTCATTTTATTTGATCAATAAGTATGCAAATCTAATATGACGGGCCAAGACGAACTTTTTTTATTATTATTCATGCAAATAAAAAGATATATTAATAATCATGGCAAAAAAATGCCGCGGTATCGTGATCTCTGACCGTTTCCAATCTGAAAATCAAAATAAGGTGTAATATGACGGATGTGATGTACAGTAAATGTCACGGCTGATTATGAAATCGGATTATTGTGAAATTTGGATCTATTTCATGTACGATTTTTAAATTTTTTT